TGTACCTTATATTGATGTTGCGTCCTGTTTGTCCGATGTAAAAACATTCGCATTCGTTACACTTGATTTTATATATGCCACTTTTCTCTTTTTCTTTAAATCTGTGTTTATTATTAATTAAGATTTGACCTATTTTGTTAGAATTTGAAAATGCGGGTGTAATATTAAATTTAGTAAGGTTGTTTTTGAAGAAATATTGCAAATTAGGGTGAAAAGGGACTTTTATGTAAAAAGTATTCAACTTAGTGGCTGGAAAAATTAATTTGATTATATTATTGTTATGAAGTTTGTTATAAAAACTCTGTATTTCGTTGATGTTAAAACCGTTCCTCAAACCAATCTCAGCGATCCTACTGAGAAAAATGATATGGAAAATTGAACTAAATCAATTTAGTTGTTAGACAAATAGTCATTTTTGCTACAAAATTTATTCGTTTACCTAACGTAATTTAGCTGACATATACAATTCTAATTAGTCAAATTTATGATAGTTAATTTATCTATTTACTGAGGAGATATAACTAATTTTTAGAAAAAGAAACTACATCGTGGAAACTAGTTGATAAGTCTAGTTGTCGAGTAGTTTAGTTACCTAAAGTATTTGATATTTTGTCTATTTTGTTCTAGTCTGAATATCTATATACACTTAACAATGAAATATTTTACCTAAATGGACAAATGTACTATTATTAAATACTTTATTTAAATATATTTTATTGTTAGTCGTTTTGTCTACCTGTTTTCATTGTTACATCGATCCTTTATAGAAAATATTTCTTAATACAAAAATTTAGGTACGACGTCTATATTTAAGTAATAAAGCTATCTACTACTATTAAATATAAAAATAATATTAATAGTAAAAACATCTATTAATATTGTATAATGAAACTAATTTGATTAGGTATTTATGAGATACATTTTTCGATCATTTATCTATCTTAAATTATCGAAATAGAATTAGTTTTTATAACTAGTAGTAGTAGTTAGCTAATTTTTAACTAAAAATTCTAGATAATATGACTAAATTTTAGGTAGTTTTCCCACATTATTTTTCTCAGTGTACGTATTTCTTCTGTAAAGTTAGCTTTATTAAGGGGTGTTCGTACAGCTCGTCTGAAGAAAAAATTGAACGCCGCACCCTTGTAATTATAATAACTATAAGAATGTTTAGGAATGATACAGTCAGTACTGGTAGGTTTACGAAATATATTAAAATCTATGTTGCAGTTATCTTGATTTCTATGTAAGGTTAAATCTAGATAATTAAGGCGGCGTTCAACTTCCTCCACTATAGTAAAATTTAAACAATTAATATTATTAAAGACATTTTCAAGTCCTTTGAGCTTAGCACGATTCCCCTCATAAACTATGAGAATATCATCGACATATCTGCAATAGAATTTTTATATCTTTAGTGAATAGATCATATTTTTTGGAAAAAAGTTGTTCTTCTAAATTGTTCATAAAGATATCCGAAATGATGCCCGATATGAGAGAACCCATGGGTAGACCATCTTTCATAGTGTAAAACTTATTATTAAAAGTGAAAAAATTTTGTTTACAAACATGATTAAGAACTTCTATGAGGTTATTTATATCCTGAAAATTAAGTTGATGTAATGATTCTAAGATGTTGTTTAAATGTCGTCTGATAATATCAAGTGATTCGTTAATTGATACGTTTGAGTAGAGATTCCTCACATCGAAAGATATTAATTTTGAGGAATTATTTAGTTTAAGAGTACTTACAAGGGAAGTATCAGAACTGTCCCTCACCGATTTTGTTGAAATTTNATGTGAAGCATTAATATTATCAAATTTTAACTTTTGCGATGTACTTTATGGACCTTGCTTGACTGTAGCAACATCGAGGAGAGTTCAGTTAATTCCAAACTCATGTCTGCGATACATATATGGGGTTAGGAAGTACGATAGGATCTCACATACCTTGTCTATGGCTAACTGGTTGAACATAGCTAACAGGAGGCAACTACATACGGCTTGTTAAATACACAAACTGCTCTGCAGCGGAGGGCCATCTTACTTGCATAGCAGAATTAGGCATCGCACGGACGTTCATAATGTGAACATTAGGAGGAAATCACTTCTTGTTATACCTAAACATAGGTTAACTCTATATACGCGATCATTTTCCTATACGGTTCAGCAGGTATATAATGACATTCCATCAGTATTTAAAAAATTAAGTGTATCATCATTTCGGCGGCGTTACAGGCAGCGTTTACTTCTCACGCAATAGTTTATTATTATTATATTATATTTTATTATTATATATATATATTTACAGTTATATTTAGTTATATTTAGTTATATTTAGTTATTTTTAGTTATATTTACAGTTTTATCTAATAAATCTAATAAATTCATTTCTGTGCAATCCATTATAACATTGCGTCATTCTTGCTTGGGATTACATATTTTTTTAGCTTCACGTAACTTGCTGTACCAAGAGTATTCCGTGACTTTTATAATATTTTCTTCGGAAAAAGAATTTGAGATAAAATCCTACTTTAACAAACTAATTGTTAGTAATGCCTCCAAAGGTGATAACTTCATTAATTTTGTTTCAACAGCAAAAACAAATTTTTCGATTTACTTTCACGTAATTCGTTCTCCCCTTTTCTTCCTTTTCGTCGGCTTCTTGGTTTAGTTGCAACGCAGTTTTTTTATGAATTTGCTACGCCTGAATGCATCTGACAATGTTTCATTAAATTCTCTTTCAAATAATTTGACTACAGAATATTTTGCTATAGTAGATTTTTTATCCTATTATATTTTATTGTAACTTGAAAACAATTGTAGATATAGAGTTGATTAAATTAAACAAAATTCAGAACTAAACACTCCAATCAGATCTCTAAGAGTATGATCCTGGAAAATGCATAGTGATATACGATTAAATCTTTATACCAAATATAAAGATTTAAGCTCAATATCTTGGAAATCAGGGAAACAAGAGAGCCAGGTCATGGCCAAGTCCCAACAAAGACAAGCATTCTTTTGGAAATAAAGATAATTATCATATACCCTATCGCAGTTAGTGTCTCAAAAGGTATTATGACGTCCATCATCAATTTTGTCTGTGTCTCAGACCCAGTCATGCTCTTATAAATACAGACCAACATAAGTAAACTAAACATAATACATATACAGCCTGTGCAGAAATTGGCGGATAATCTACACGTAACGACATTCCACGACCGACTCTGAATCGAAAATCTTAATGTTAAAATATTGTTCTACTTCGAAATGTTGCCACATGTGTTTTTCATGAAGTTATGATAATGAAAAAACGTTAAAAACGAACTTTAAAGCTAAAGAAAATAACTTTAACAAAAAAACTAGTTTTCAAAATTCTTTTTATCAACAGATATTGAATATTTATGATTATTTATGGACAAATTATCCGACCTTTGAGAACTTGAAGACGTATTAAGCGTGGTACAACGTTTTACAATTAAGATTTTGTGCAGATTTTCCACCACCTACTACAACAGGCCTGAAAAAGAAATTGTTCTATTTTACGAACTAATCAAACAGACGCTTAAATCATTAAAGAGACTAGAGACATTTGAGCTATGAATACATTGGAGGCTACTGAGGATTTCATTAGGGGGACAACATTCCTTCAAGTTGGTAATGATGCGAGAGATAAGAAAAGAGAAAGAAGTAATTATGATGATTAAGCAAAAAAAACTGTTATATATGAGATATATCATGGAAAGAGAAAAATATCTATCACTCTTACTTATAATGCAGGAAAAAAGCAGAGGAAAGAGGTCCATAGGAAGANATAGACCTGATGACTGGAGTCAACCAAGGCGCACTTGGTCGGGAAACTTTGATAATTTTCTCAGGCACATGTTTATCAAATACATACAGTAAATGCCTATTAAAAAATTCTAATTTGTCATTAATATTTATAAATTGAATTAGAGCATGCCAATCAATCGAACGCAAGTCACTGTCAAAATTCTCCTGGTTAAAATTCGAATAATCCCTGATCGTTTTAAACATAGGATAGGTGTGATTTGTAGTTACTAATGACAATGTACATTGAACAAGAAAATGGTCCGAAATGTTATTCAAATCTACAGTACCAGAGTCTCCAATAAGTGACACAGATTCAATAATAATAATTAAATCAATTAAAGAAAAAATAGTAGAAGTGACTCTAGTAGGAGAGTTTATAACCTATTTAATTTGATTTATTCTGTAATACATTAAGGGTCACCAATAAAGGCATTTATTATTATTATTATTATTATTATATTGTTTAAATGTCGTCTGATAATATCAAGTGATTCGTTAATTGATACGTTTGAGTAGAGATTCCTCACATCGAAAGATATTAATTTTGAGGAATTATTTAGTTTAAGAGTACTTAGTTAGAGTACTCGACTCATTCGTTCGAGTCGAAACAATATTGTAGCACTGAAATCTATCAATAAATATTTTTCATCATAACAATTTAACATTGTAAAAGTAGTTTTGGAGTTATTCTCTAGATTCTAGATGAACGTTATCCGGTAGGAAGACTATCAACCACTTTAACTAGTGGTGGTAAAAGTGTGGTTTAGTTAAAGAAAAATAGAAAAGTTCTCCCTACTAATTTCTTTAAAACCTATTCTATATAAATCAACGTTTATTTTATTTTTTAATGGCAGCAATATCAAGTGAAAACCCTCATAAAACCCCAATAACAAAGTTTTACAACGCTTGTATTGGTTTTGAGTTGTAGGTACGAAGGATCTCTTCGGAAAGCGTAGCAGTGAAGCTTCTTGATGGTGAGGAGCTTCTTTGCCGCGGGGGCAAAGAAGCGACCGTCCTCGTACCTCGGTACACTCCGCGTACCTTCAGCCATTGGTCCACGCGGTAGGATGCTGCTGCCGTCGCGGTCCCACCACCGGCGTTTTGGAGCCCCTGAGGGGGAGCAGCGGAGCCCGCGGCTGCGCGACTCTTCAGTAGTCATTCGGTCGGCCGATTGTACGTACCAGAACGTTCCCTTGTCCGTATAGTGTTTATTATAAAATAAACCCGCGACCGTGCGAACCATAACAATATCAAAAAAATAGTATTAATAATAATTAAACCGGAATACTAAAATAACACGTTCATTAAAAATAATTTTCATTTATAAATAATATTTAAAACGGGGAAAAATCTTTTTCCTTTCCATGTGCTCAACGGGTCCCGATGCGGGCTTTAAACTCTTGTGATGATGTGCAGTGTCGTGTGGCGCCTGTTGTGTAGGAGCATGACCCATGGATATTTATTACAGTTCTTCTTGTTGCTACTCAACTTGCTCCAGGTAAAAAAAAAAGTTTAAGTAAACAACAAACCACCCAACAACACACGTTATAAGAGTCTCCGAGATCTGGTCGTTTTTTGGTTAATTTTCTTGTGGAACTTTTTTGATGAGAATTGAAGGAATTAAGCGGTGCTTTCCGTGAAGCGAACCTGTTGCGAACCCGTCTTTAACGTCGATTACAGGTTTCCGTCTTCGGCGTGAGTTCTCTCGGTGGCCGACGTCTCTCCGCACTCTCGGCCCCTCAAGCTTGTAAACAAACGGCGTCTCGTTCTATTTTAGAGGTTACGGATAATAATAGAGTTGGTTTTCCGAAAAGTCGTAAACACAGTTCGATTTGGTAACTTACGCCAGAACTCGCGCTTTCATCTAAATTGTTCTCATTTCAATCTGTTTATATTCAAACTTATTTTCGTTAATTTTAACTCACATCAGTATTTATAATGTTTTTCTTACCAAATATTCCCTCTTTACTCATTTATGGTTCCGGTTACTTTTATGTTATGTCTTAAGGTTGAATCGCTAAAACTTTATTTAAACTTTTGGAGTTTTACAACAAAGTAATGTTCAAAGTTCTAAAACTTTCGTTACTAAAGCTTTCTGATTGCAGATTTTATCACGCAATACAAGAATAGGTTGTTCAAAACTTGAATTGCTTTTGCAGATATTTAAGTGTTTAGGAATAGTTGATGAACAAAGCATAACATTACACAAGAGATCATGAATCGTTAGTGTATAAGGATTGACACAGTATGTTACCAATATTCTTATATGAGATAAAACATGTTAATACCAACAAAATTTTCACCATCATTTTAAAAGCTCACTAAATTTTTCTTAACATTTTTATATTCTACAAGTTTAATACAATCTCTTAAAAAGAAGTGTTTCAATTATAATTTGATATCAAAATCGCTTCATAATTTGCATAAATGGCTCTTAAATGATTATTTAAATTTTATGCATGAGTTTAACGTCAAAACAAATTTTTGATTTTTTTCCCATCATATTTATAATCCAATTTTACAAATGCTGTTTATCATTTTAAACAAGATATTTCAGCTTTACTTTGAGTGATTTTTAATGATTATCTACACTTTGATGTTAAACTAAAAATAACGAAAACTTTATACATTATTTTATAGAAAAATGTTTCAATTTTAATTTAGTATCATATTTGGATCATAAATTACTTAAAAAACTTATCGACGACTTTCCGACTGTTTTTCACACATTTTTACAATCCAACCCAACATATATTACATATTATTTTAAGATAACATAACATAATATGTATAAATAAGTTTTCCACTATTTTTTAAGTATTGATCTTCATTTAGCCGTTATGAATATGTCAAGACAACTTTACAACATGTATTAGACATCATTTTGAAGTGGAAATATTCAGCTTTAATTTGTGATAAAAATCTTTTCTTAATTATCGGAAATAATCCCTCCAGGAATTTTTCACATATCACTTTACAAGAGGTCAATCGCCAATTATATCTATCGGTACAATAAAAATTAAATAACTTTAAGTTTTCTGTGAATTATATTATTTAAAAATTAATTTTGCTTGGAAATGAACCACAGTTGATTAATATAAAAAGTTATATATTGGGTAAAATGGTTCTAATAATTTGTAATGGTTAAATCTGTAAAATGTAACATTTTTAACAATATCTCAAACGCATTACGACTCACACATTGCCAAACACTTCCGACATCGAAATTCACTTCCGGGGCTAATAATCACGAAGATTTTTCATACGAATTTTGCTCATGTAAATCAACACCTATCATATGTATAATTTTAATCTGTAGGTGGTTAACGCCTCATACGAGGTGTTATGGAAATTATGTCGTTATTCATAACAAATTGTGTTAACTTGACAACTGTGTGTGATTTTATAGAGATAAAGCAAAAACATTGTATGTTAAATATCGTAAGAGTAAATTTGATTGTAATGAATCCAGAGGATCTGTAAATGTTGTACATATTTGCCGTAGTTGTGACACAGCGTTTAGTTACAGTATTTAAGCTTTTCGTGAAAAACATGTTTTAAATTTGGACACATTTGCAGAAAAATTCACACTCCAAGAAATTTTGAGTCTCAAAATTCATTCTGTGAATAGTTGGTATAACTAAAAATGCGATATAGTTAGAAAAAAATCTTTTATGGATAATGTTTTTCTACTTTATTACATACACTTTTTATTAATATCATTCAAAACATATTTTGTTGTTAAGTATTGCAAATTTGAAATATGTATTTGGCTTTTTGAATCGCATAAGTTAGTAGTAATTATAGTTGGGTTATAGTCATTTGCTGATAACGTTTTGTTGATTCATTACAAATAATTGTCGTTAACAATATTATCTCTAAACATTTTTAGTTTTTTAGTTATAATAAACATTTGTTTTCTACAATCATCAATTTACAAATTTCGAGTTTGAATGGTTTATAACTGAAAATGCGCTACAGTTAGAAGAAAATCGTTTACGCATTACGTTTTTATGGTTTATTAAGAACACTTTTCATTAAAACTATTCTCATCCCCTGTTTTAAATTTTTGAGTTAAAAATCATTTTGTTCTTAAACACGTAAAGTTTAAATTTTTTTGAAGTTTAATCCCGCTGGGTATAATACTTAATAACCATAATAAAATTTTGTGAGTTCATTACTAATAATTTTCATTCACAATATTATCTGCTAGCATTTTTCTTTTTTAAGTTATACCTAATATCTAGTACCTAATACATATTTTTATGCAAAATCATTGAATTAGAGATTTTGGAATTAATGATTTATAACTAAAGGTGCGGTATAGTTAGAAAAAATCGTTTGTAAATTATCTTTTTGTGCTTTACTATACACAATTTTTATTTATATCATTCTCACAAACAGTTTTTTATTTTTGAATTAAAAATATTTTGTTGTCAAATATCTCGAATTTAAATTGTTTAGGTTTTTAAATCGGGTATGTTTGTAATAATTAGTTGGGTTATAATCTTTCACTGATAACGTCCTGTTGATGCATTACAAATAATTTTCATTCACAGCATTATCTTCTAATATTTATTGTTTCTTCGATATACATAATAATTTCTAAAATCATCAATTTAAGGATTTCGCATTTTATGGTTTATATCTATAATTGCGATATGGTTAGAAAAAAGTCCTTTATGGATTATGTTTTAATAATTTATTATGAACTTTTTGTTTATATTATTATCGTCTAGAGTTTTTAATTTATGAGTTATAAACCATTTTGTTGTTAAACACCCAAACTTTGAATTTTTGTTTTGATTTTAAATCCGCTAGGTTGGTAACAACCATAGTTAGGTAAAAATCGCTCTCGTATAACGTTCTATTGATGCATTATAAATAATTTTCATTCACAGCATTATCTCGTAACATTTATTGTTTCTCCAATATACATAATAATTTCTACAATCATCAATTTTGAGATTTCATATTTTATGGTTTATAACTAAAATTGCGATATAGTTAGAAAAAAATCCTTTATGGATTATGTTTTAATAATTTATTATGAACTTTTTTTGTTTATATTATTATCGTCTAGAGTTTTTAATTTTTGAGTTATAAACCATTTTGTTGTTAAACACCTAAACTTTGAAATTTTTGGATTTTAAATCCGCTAAGTTGGTAACAACCATAGTTAAGTAAAAATCGCTTTCGTATAACGTTCTGTTGATGCATTACAAATAATTTTCATTCACAGCATTATCTCCTAACATTTATTGTTTCTCAGATATACATAATAATTTTTAAAATCATCAATTATTTGATTTCGCATTTTATGGTTTATAACTAAAATTGAGATATAGTTAGAAAATAATTCTTTATGGATTATGTTTTAATAATTTATCATGAACTTTTTTTGTTTATATTACTATCGTCTAGAGTTTTTAATTTTTTAGTTATAAACCATTTTGTTGTTAAACATCCAAACTTTGAAATTTTGGGATTTTAAATCCGCTAGGTTGGTAACAACCGTAGTTAAGTAAAAATCGCTCTCGTATGACGTTCTATTGATGCATTACAAATAATTTTCATTCACAGCATTATCTCATAACTTTTGTTGTTTCTTCGATATACATAATAATTTCTAAAATCATCAATTTTGAGATTTCGCATATTATGGTTTATATCTAAAATTGCGATATAGTTAGAAAAAAATCCTTTATGGATTATGTTTTAATAATTTATCATGAACTTTTTTTGTTTATATTATTATCGTCTAGAGTTTTTAACTTTTGAGTTATAAACCATATTGTTGTTAAACACCTAAACTTTGAAATTTTTTGGATTTTAAATCCGCTAGGTTGGTAACAACCATAGTTAGGTAAAAATCGCTCTCGTATAACGTTCTATTGATGCATTACAAATAATTATTATCCGTACCATAATCACATAACATTTTTAGTTTTCGAGTTATAATTTATTAACATTTTTATCCGAAAGGGTCAATAGCAGTTTTGCGAAATAGTTGGATAGATATCGTTTATGGTTTATGTTTTTGGGATGCAATTACAGTTTTTGATAATATCACTCTTACAAAAACGCCAGACAGTTGAGTGTAGACCTCTTGTATTTGAAATAGGAGTTAATTTGTCCCACTCATGTATAAAAAATTTATTATAAGAATTGATTAATTCTTTAATTGTTACTATTAAAAAACTACTTTATATAAAATAAGCATAAGGTCGAAATTTTTTTTAAGTTACACCCGTTACAAGTTCAACTTGAACCTTCCTTTCTTCTCATTTGAACACATTAAGCAATGTCGTTAAGCACCTCTAATCGAACATAAGTCACGATACGAGTTCAACAAAATATTCCAAAACGGAAACAAAAAACGGATTCAGGATTCGTCCGTATAATCCGAGATACTCAATTTTTCGAGTCATCGCCAATCTCGTTTATCTCGGATTAATGAGACTCTGTTGTATATCTAAATGTATATCTCCATCTGTG